ATAGCTGCTCTGCCATTTGCTTACCGAGCATCATCCTGGCCTCCGATTGGCCAAGAGGGACCTCACTGTCTATGTGTGTAGATACTGTAGCTAGATCCGTGGAAGATAGAGTGGAATGCATCCGATTAGCTGCTCAGAGTAAATTGCTTGTGGCTCGAGGGACAGTCAAATAAACGAACATTTCCTGGAATGCTTTACTTGTTATCATGGTAAAAACCTTACGCTAACTGGAGCGCTAATTAGAGAGAAGGCGAGTTCCATCGCGCTAACTATGGCCATCGAGGACTACGAAGCGTCCCGTGGCTGGCTGAAAAGTTCATTCCATGACATCAGCTGAGAAACGCTGTCTTGGGTGGCGATCGAGGGGAGGTCGAGTTAGACAGTGAGATAGTGGAAAGAAAAGCCGCCGGGTCCAGGAAGTATCTGTTATTGTTAGATTCAGACGCAGCATGAACGTTGCATTGCTAAAATGGCTACAAAACGGACCTTTGGATGTCAAGCAGCTAAGACAAGAAGCGCTCTGATGCTGGAAGAGAGGGTAAAAGTGATCAAAATGAAATACGGAGGAAGCAAAATAAAAGACATTATCCAAGAAATTGATGTAAGTGAAAGTGAATGCTGATCGTAAATTTCGCAATTTCTTTCCCTTTTTTTTTCTTTCTACACTGACAATATGAAGTGTCAAATAAGTGTGTGCTCATACTTGTGCACTATTGGAATCAAAATAGAGGCCACATACATTTGTGTGCGTGTACACATACGATACGATTGTGTGTGCGTGTACACATACGTTTGTGTGTGTGTGTGTTTACATCTGAGATCAAATTTACTGTATATACACACACACACACACACACACACACACACACACACACACACACACACACACACACACACACACACACACGCGCGCGCGTTAGTACTCCCTGGTTCTTCTGCCTCCCTGCTTTTTTTGGTTCCACTGCCTTCACACAACATGACAAAGAACAGTTTTGTTTCATTAAAAAAATGGAATTAACAATTTTAGAGAATTTTAGAGCCTTAATATTTTAAAGCTAAAAAAAATTGGTGAGGTAACAATTTTGAAACGCATACATTAGAATTATTGAAGTGTTTTGTTTTTTTGGGAAGGAGGGGGATATTTGTGGAGTGCGTATTCACCAGTGTCTAGGATCCACGCCGTCACTGCTGCAGTGTCATCTGTAGCACAAAGTGAACAGCAATACCACACACGGCAGATTAGAACCCTATTTTCTTTTGTATAATCACCTTGAGTAAGTAAGTAAGTGTAAACATCATAAAATTATCCCGAGCATACTTCTGGTTCAACAGGTGAGTAAATAACAGCCTGGCCACCAAATTAAAAAATGCACTCTTCAGGTTGCCATTTTCTGGCCACACTTGCCGTTTGGAAAAGGAGATCTCACCATGCAGGCTTTGTCCGGGTCCTGCCTGTGCTTCATGAGCTCCTCAAACTTGAGCTCGTCCTCCAGTTGGCGCTCCAGGTCGTTCCCGTAATGTATGTCCTCGTGTTCTGCAGAGGCGATCCTGGGCTTGAAACTGAGGAAGGGATCTGAGGTTGTTGCTGTTGCTGCAAACGTGTCGCCGCGGCCGAGGTCGGAATCCACAGTGCTCTCAGTCTCGCTTCCACCCTCTAAGAGAGAACAGGGCACTTGACAGAAATCTTTGCATTGTGAGTGAACAAAGAACATCAAGTATAGCAGGGATGCAACTAACCATTATTTTACTAATTGATTAATGTTTGTGGGTGAATCGATGAACCGGGTAAAAAAAAAAAAAGTATCTTTCAAGTTTCATTCCTTGATTCAAAAACAGGACATTACTGCAAAGTGACAAACACATTTGCACAAACAAATTAGGAATCCATTAAATAACAGAAGCTACTTTGATGTTTTTGCCACAAGCCCTCAACAGCAGCACACAAAAATAACACACACAGTTCGTCGCAATATCTTGCGCTTTTGACAAATTTCATAGCTCAAAGTTTTCTACATCACACTTGGTGCAAATGGGCTGCTGCCTAGCTCGAGGCTAAAGTTAGTGGTGATAGCATCAATTCAAGAGCTTTTGTGTGTTAGCTACTGTTATGTGGTGAACTTGAGTGGAATTTAGAATTGTAGAACTGCTGCTTTCTCTGTATTATACAAAATAAAAACAGGAAAATATAACACGCTGAAGTATCGACTTTACATTTTTAAAGATCAAAAAGCTTCAGTAAAAGGTGAGTGCTCGTCGCATGATTCATAAGCTGTCACATTATTTGTTTTGCTTGTTTGATATTTAAGGCAACTGTAATTTCTTAATGTGGTACTGTTTTTTCCCAAATTATGAAATATATTATTAAGAATTACTAAATAAATATGAATTATAATAGCCGTATTTATAGAGTAATATGTACATGTAACTAAAACATTTTTGATGTTTTTTGTTGACTAAATCTGTTCCAAAAGATAGTTGTACCTGAATTCAACTCTTTGACCAGCGATGACATTGTGTTGGTGATGGAGTCAGCAGCGATGAGGAGGTCGTTTCTCAAATTTCTCCTGGGACCTTGGACGGAGAAGTGAAGAAAATATTGCCATCACAACATCTTACCACATTGTCGTGATTTTGGAATGGAACTGAGCTGCGTTACCCTGAGCAAAGGCATCCTGAACATCGCCTCCCACACCCATGAGAGAGTCCTGAGGTGTGTGAGTCGGGGTGGTGCCGACTGAGTCAGAGTGGATGGGCACGGGAACGGGCCTGCTGACGGTGTGACTGGGGGACGAGCGTGGAGAGCCGGGACCCTGAGTCTGCAATTCGCAACAACGCATAAGTACACATTTTCGAACTAAGTGAGAGTTGGGACTGAGGCAAATGATTATTTCACGTTATTTCCTCACTTTTAGAGAAAGTAACACTCTCTTATTTGTGCCTGGTTGATTGCAATTGTGCATTTTATTGTGTTAAATAAATACAGGAATTGATCCCTACAACTCTGCTAGAATTTTGCTGACTGTATTTTCCGCACCAAAAGGTGCACTGGATTATGAGGCGCACCTTCAATGAATGGCTATTTTGTAATTTTCATACATTGGACGCATCGCATTATAAGGCGCAATTTACAATGCCTCCACTAGATGGTGCTACGTTCCTTCCATTCAACTCGAGAGGTGTTCATGACCGCCTCCGAAAAACGTAACTTAACTATTACTGTACTGAAATGAAACTACGAAAATTGAAAACAATGCATCAAAACAGAAAATCAAGCGAGGAAATCACAAAATAAATTCTATATCCCCCCTACAGAATTTATTTTGTGATTTCCTCGCTTGATTTTCTTCGTAGTTTCATTGAAGTAATCATTAATTTACGTTTTCCGGAGGCGGCCATCAACGGCTCTCAAGTGGAACGGAAAAAGAGAAGGTACGGAGACGGACAAAGACGTACAGTACCTGTATTTGTTGAGACTGTGAAAACCATGAATAAAGTCTGCGTTTAAAAAAAAAATAAAACCACAGCTCTCCTTTTTTCGGAGCCACAACAAAAACTTATTTAATAAAGCAGCAACACAGTTCACTGAACCAACAGCAAGTTATAACATTGTAAGCATGTCTCCAGCAAGAAGCCATCTTGGGGTCGACATATTACCGTAATGACCATACACAAGACGCACCGGATTTTAAGGCGCTCGGTGAGCTTTTAAGAAAATGGAAGACTTTTTGGTGCGCCCTATAGTGCGGAAAACAGCATCTCCACCAGTTAAGCATAGTCACTGGAAACTATGGATGGGCGAGTACCAATACTAGGTATCGGTCTCAGACTGACATCAGTTGTATTTCAAGGGTTTGGGTACTTGTGAGGGAACCACAAAATTGCAGCATCAGCAAAGTTGGATCACAACTGTGACATGGCAATCACATATGACCAAAGATAATGCAGAGTCTGGTGTGTCTACAACCATTTGTGGGACAGTAACAGTGGCTTTTGCAGAATACCTTCACACTCAAGACACGGTTCCGCCTCTGATATGGCTCTAAATGTTGCTAGGCTAAAAAGACAGAAGTTACAACTGACAGGCAACACGAAAGAGGCTTGTGTGCACACAACACCGTCTGCAGGGCAAAACTATGTAAAGCTGAAAGTAATGGAGGTTGAAAAGTAAGTGTTGTTGGGCTACCCACATATGCTTTTGTAAATTAAATTAAAAGACTCCTTAATTGTTTGAATTAAAAAGATATTATTTTGTCATTGTGGAAAAACATCTACAAGTAGTATGTTTTTTTTTTTTTTTGCTTCAATTTTGTTGATTTAACTGCAAATTCCATCCATCTATCGATTTTCTGATCCGCTCTATCCTCACATTTTGGGGCGTGCTGGAGCCTATCCCAGCTGTCTTCGGGCAGTAGGCGGGGGACACCCTGAACCGGCTGCCAGCCAATCGCAGGGGACACAGAGACAAACAACCATCCGCGCTCACATTCACACATAGGGACAATTTTGAGTGTTCCATTAACGTGCCATCAATGTTGGAGGAAACCGGGGTAAAAAAAAAAGATCAAAAACAATCTTCAGCTCATCAACCCCTTCCAAAATCAGCAGGGATGGACACCAGCTCACTCATGGCCCTATTGAGTGTATGTACAGAAGAAAATGGGTGCATGGTTATCCTTACAGATTGAGGTTTTACTTACATTTTGCCTGTACAGTTGCATCCATATTTACGATATTAAATTGGACTCTGGAGCAGATTTTTATGAAATAGTGCCAGAGTAATCTATTATGTGACACTATCTGAAAATACCAAACACAAAATGGCCCAATTTGAATGCTAGTTCAAGCATCGCTTTTCAACATGGAACACAATGTATAAAAACGTTCACCTCGAGTTCACAACAGCGCAGTGACTGTAAGAAGCCGTGAAAAAAGATGGAGGGCTCTTGTCTGCGCTACCTTGAGAAGCATCATTAGCTGCTCCAGCTGCACCATGAGCTCCCTGCGACTCTCCTGCAGACTCGACATTCTCTGCTCAAGCTCATCTTTGCGTTGCCTGACAAGTGAAAAAAAAAAGGTACAGATTGATGACACCATTAGGTCACATCCACACAGACTAAGTCAAGCAGTTCCAATCTGCACTTAACTCTTTCTTTACCTTTTCCCCCCAAAATGTTTAAATCAGGGCACAGAATTACAGCATATGTTACACAGCGTATTATTTAAGGTTTTGGGGGGTGGTCCACTCATGCAAATGAGTCATAGCTCATCCTGCCCCCACTACTGTCAGTAAAAGGATCAATGAAGGAGCACATTTTTTTTGTTGTTGTTGCTTGTTTTCCTTGTCTTGCAAAAATGTCTGGCACATGCTCCATGGAGCAAGGAGGCCTGTTTCATGCAAATGAACCACTGCTCACACCACGCCCGCCTTGTGAGGGGTTGCCAATGCAAGTACAGCATTCTTTACTATGAGGGCCAAGGTGTCAAAGTGCACCCAAGCCCATAACATCTATACACACAGCAAAAGCATAGATTGTATTTTCACTGGCGGAGGCAGAACTTCACTGGCAAGTCAGCGAGTAACATTTGGTGTAACAATTTGTGTGCAGATGTGTGCATGTGGCACATGAGGCAGACACATTGGGAAACACAAACACCCTCCACAACTTCACAGAACATTCGAGTATGTGCTCGTTATCAAACGCTACACTAATAACGGAGTTAGCTAATGATAAATTTTTGCTAGAGTAACAACACAGTTCTGCTGATCTTTTGGCTTTAACAGGACAGTGCTTCCGTGAAGTCCAACTGTTGCTTGAAAATGGCTAATCTTCCCCACGCCTAGCTTTCAAGTCATGAGCGGAGAAACTCAGTAAGGGGGGGCCGTAGTATGTAAATGAGTCCCAGTGTTACCTCACTATCCTGAAAAACTCAGAAAAGCTCACATTTTGTTGAATTAAGCACCTCACAATTGATTTGTTTAGGCCATTCTTTTTTTTTTGTTTTGGTAATTCATTTTACACTTGGTAAGTGAGTAGGCACTCCAGAGAACAAACAAGCACTTCAACTCAGCTTTCAAAATAATGTATGTGCTCTGTCCCCTATAAAATATTGTGCTGGATGGAGTGTCCAGCTTACCTGAGAAGTCGTAACTCAGCCAGCAGTGTTGGGTTCTGCTGACCCCTGTCAGGCGGCGGCTGCGAGGCCTCCTCATGCTGGAGGCGCAGTCGTTGGATTTCCTGCAAGATTTCTCTGTGTGACACGCACAAAGAGACTTCAGAAAGAGTCTTCAATTTATAGCACACTGCATCCCTTAGAGTCCCTTTAGTAGTGAGATTTAGAGCTAATGACTGTTACGAGGGTCAAGGGCAGCTCCCGCCGGCATGACTGATGGAGGAATGCACAATTTTATAGACCTGGCTGGGTGGCGGCGATAACATTGCCGGGAGGCTTATGTACTGTGAACACTTCAAATAAACATATTATCATACATGTGGGGGGATGGATTTTGAGGGGGGGGGGGGAAAGATTTCATTGAACATCTATCCATCCATCCATTTCCTGGCTGAACAATCAAATATTCATGTATAGCACTCAAATGATTGTCAGGGCTTTAAATGTGGAATTTCCATGTGCTTTAAGCCTATACTATGTTCAGAAGTTATAAATAAATAAATAAATAAAAAATTTTAAAAGCATTATAGCAGTGGTTCTTAGCCGTGTTGGAGGTATCGAACCCAACCAGCATATGCACATTCACCGAACCCATCATTAGAGAAAATTAAAAATATAATTCAAGAAGTGTTCTTTCAGTTTTGAGTTGCTCAACTTGGCAGAACAAATCATGCAGATAGGACGCTGAGTCCCATCACTTTCCGTGATGCATGTGAATCCATGTTGTACATATTGGTCTGACCGCTTTCTTTTTTTTGCTCGAAATAGTTAGCATGCATTGAAAAAATTCCCCCCAAAATCACACGACATACTATCACGACAGTCACACGTTGACGACTGAGCGAACTAAATTTCCCACACATTGACAACTGAGCAAACTAAATTTCCCACAGCACTGATTGGACAAGCCATGTAATGTGATCATGTGCAGTGGGCGTGTCACAACTAATCGACATGTTGAGTCGGGTGTGTCTTAGCCTTCATGACAGAGGCTCTGTCGAACCCGAGACCGATTCACCGAACCCTTGGGGTTCGATCGAACCCAGGTTGAGAACCACTGCATTATAGTATCATAAAATAATCTAAATTTATTGTACTTTTCTCAGGTGATATTACCAATTGTATTCAGTTTTGTGTTACATTCCCATAAGTTCTGTATTGAAAATGAAAACTTGTGGTTATAATCAGTCATAAGATATATAACATGTTGTTTTCTAAAGTGTTCTATGAATAAACTAAGGTGAGAGTTAAGCTTCTCAAAGATTAAGCTGTGAAAGTCTCGCTGGCATCTGGTCGAAAAAATCCTTATGTCCAAAAACGGCCCACTTCATATTTTTCAAATATCGATCATTTTGGTCAATCACCACGTGGTTGTTTTTACAAACTACTGACCAATCCAAAGTGTTGAAAATGTCTTGTACTTTCTCGTTGATGTGATGCTCATAGCTCAACAACCATGCCGTTTTTGGGGTTGCCGGAAAAATTTGGGAGGATCCATTAGTACAAATACACTACAGGCCAGAAAATATACCAGCTTTGATCATGATTATCACATTTTAGGTTCAAAAGAAATAGCTTGAGAGTCTGTATGCCCAAGCCTCAACTATGTTCAGGTGCCGTGACGCCAAAGAAAATCAACAAGGCCAGCTGGGGGCGTTCAGTGCCTCACTTGTTTTTACTCTCCAGCTCGGCGATGAGCTGCCTCTGCTGTTTGTTGGCATCGAGAGAAGACGGCATGTCTGCGGGGACTCTGTGCTGCTGCTGTTGAGCCTGAAGCAGAGGCACTGTGTCAACGCCTCCGTTCGGTTCACACCAATGATAAGAGACAAAAAGAACATCAAGTGCACCAAGTCACTTCAAGTACATTGTGGGAAAGAATGATTTGATCCCCAGTTGAGTTTTGTTGCTCATTATTCAAAGAAATCCACTTTTTATGGTTGTTTATGGTAATAGACAACATCAATGTGGAAAATAAACCACACAATATAAGATATTTTATTGAGCGAAATAAGTATTTGATCACCAATTAAAACCCAAATCCTGATTTGGTGGGGAAACTCGTGTCAATATGAACAGCGGCAAGTTTTCTTTCCGGTGGTCCACAGGTTTGCCGGGATTTGAAGAATAAAGCCGTTCATTTATTTATCTATTCATTTGTTCGATCGAAAGCTTCCGTAATTCTAGGGGAAAGTTGTTTTGAGAGCAAAGGCAGAATTTTTCAAGAATAGAGTCCTAATTTTTAGAGAATAAAGATGCCTTTTCCAGAATAAAAAGCAGAACATTACGAGAATCCATTTTTAGAAAAGTCCCTTTCTTTTTCTTGTGACTTTAATATCATGATACGGCGACTTTATCTTGGGAAAATAGGACTTTTTTTTATCCTGCCAAAACATTACTTTTTGTTCAACTGTTCTCATAACACTACACAATTTTTTTTCACTATAAAGTACGATTTGTTCCTGTAACATGACAACTTTTATTTGAGAATCAATTAATTCCATCGTGAATGGCATCATAGTTATGTTTAATTGTTATCAGGATTATGAGGTGTTCTTTGAAAAATGTCTCCCCTGGATGCGGTCTAACGATGTGTGTTTTCTCGACAGATATTGTGTCTGTGATACAATCGAAGAACAACCATCAAATTGGAGTCTGTTTATGTCTTGGTAAGTGAGCAAATGTATAAATTTGCCAGGGATGAAATAATGACTTTCCCCAGTGTATGTTCATGTTTCTCACTGCAGCATCTGCAGCCAGGCGAGCAGCGTAGCGGGCAATGAGGCTGTGCTCCTCGTCTTGATGGTTGCTGCTCTCCAATAAGCTGATGGTGAGGAAAATAGAGATGGCAGTCACAATGTAACACTGAGAATACACAGAAATGTACAGATTAAAAAAAACAACATATGGAAGACCTGAATAAGACAAGAAAACACTCACTTGACCACACACAGATTTTTACTCTGAGTTAAAATTAAATTTTCCTGCAGACATAAGAGGGTAGAGCACTTCCATTAAGACGCGGGCAGACATAGTGCATGCGCAGGCATCTCTATTTTTATGTTGTTGGTGAGTGTGGAAATAAACAGAGAGAGAGAGAGAGAGAGAGAGAGAGAGAGAGAGAGAGAGAGAGAGAGAGAGAGAGAGAGAGAGAGAGAGAGAAAGAAAGATTACATAACCTGTCTGACAATAAAAACATTTCAGTCAGTACAAAATGCAGCAAACCGTTTTTGAATGTTACTTTATATGGGCACAAACCATTCAGAAATCTGAGCATTAATCAGCTCGCTACAAAATATAATCTGTATTTGCGGTTATGCAATCATGAGTATTCTGAAAACGCAACATGGGCCAAAAATGCTGTCGCCTTCAATTTGAAACAGATTTTACCTAATTTCCCACTAGATGGAGAAATACGCTCTAACATGATTTAATCTGCTCTAGAACGTGCGCGCACACGCACGCACACACACACACACACACACACACACACACACACACACACACACACACACACACACACACACACACAATCCAAATACATCGAGAGAAAAAAGTTGCCACAATATTCTTTGAAACTAAAGTCTTGATCTTCTTAAATCATATCTGTTGAGGAACAAAAGTCAATAAGGATCAAATCAGATTTATTAATTAAAAAAAATCATTGGATTGGCAAGAAAACAAAGTCCTAATTTTACAACTATAAAGTCAGTGTGTTATAGCATAACAATTAGCTGTTTTGGGCGAACAAAATTCTAACTCTTTCATGACAAATTTAAATCTCAGGCAAATAGAGGTGTTCTTTTTGGGCAATCATTGTTTATATGAAGCATTTCATACACAAGGTAACTCAATGTGCTTGACATAATTAAAAAAATACAACATTTAAAAGCACAGTAAAAAACAAGCAGCTAACTAAAACTATTAGTCATATTTTTTGAGAAAAAAGAAGGATCTTAAGAGATAAAGGCAGATTGTTTTGAAAGAAGAAAAAAAGAAAAAACATCAAGAGAACGAAGTCGCAAATCGACACTAAAGATGCAATTTTAAAAAAGTTGTCATCTTTTCGGAGTAAAATCATATATGTGTGAAGGTCAAGATATAAATGCATTGCTGTGTTAACATGAGAACTGTTGAAGATCTTGTTACACTTAAATAGGTGGGGGGAAAAAGGTAACGTGATAGAATTACAACTTTATTTGTGTATGACTATCATTTTTTCCGTACTAACATACATTTTTATAATATTGCAAAATGTGTCTTATAGCATTGCAAAAAAAAAAAAATCTTTTAATTTAATTTTCCCCACCCATTTTCCACATGAATCACCATATTTTCTGGAGGGTGAATGCCATCTATTGAAAGCCTATCAATTAAAGTCGATACCTTTCATTTCAAATCCATTGTAGTGGTGAAAAAAAAATAATTTAAAACTCTGTCACTTCCCAAATATTCTAGGCTACTTTCAAACGTCACTGTAGAATATGGTCACATACACCATCACTAAAACAAATGCGGTACATTGGTACCTAATAGATTGGCCAGTGAGGGAAAATCAGTACAAATGTTGTTTTGGTGGTTGTAAGAAAAAAACAAAATCCTTGTAGTACTCATTCATGGTTTTCAGACAGTCAGGTTATTCAGAGAAGGGCACACAAGAGCACACCCACTAACCATGTTTTGGGGTTGTTTTGAAGCAGTTTCACATAAAGGCCAATGAGAATGTGCTCGTCCGCGAGTCTGTCAACTGCATCCAGGTTGCAGTGTAACCTGGACGCGTGCAGGAGTTCATAAACAAAGTAAATAACAGACAACCAAAAAAAAAACAAAAACATGACATACCACGGGTGACAAAAGGAGGGCTGGCACAAAGGCATACGGGAAGAAAAAAAAAAAACAAGAGATTTGAGGAGACGCCTGAAAAGCAGCCATTCACGGGTGACTGAAGAGGAACAAGGCCACATTATGTGTGCTGATGAAAGCCTTCGGCGTGATTAAGGACATGCCCTGCAGACACACTACACGTCGCATGCACAGTTTAAACACTACACATATCTATGTAGTGCTCCAAAACTACCTAATCCCGTTTTATGAAACTCCTATGGCCACTAATACAGTTGATGAGAAAGAAAAAAAAAACTTGAGAAGGGTGTCAGTATTCATTATCCAAGGTCAGTTTCCACCAGAGAGCTAACTAAGCTCAACAAGCATGTGGTTTCATTCGATACGTTGAGCATTCAACTACCAAACAATGGGCTCCCTCTTGTAAAGGTAAAGAAAGCACAGGTGGCGCACATAATGAAGGGAACATTGGCTGGCGTGCATAGTCATGTCAGTTTCAGGTTTGTGCTAGCGCGCACGCAAGCTAGCAACCGCAGTTGTGACATGCTGTTAAACTCCCAAATTAGCTCATTTTCCCCACTGTGGACATGTTGGTTGATGCAGAATGTGGGCCAAACTACACAAATCCAAAAATGGCAATCAGTGAAAAAACTATTTTTGCTATCAGCTAATGTTTAGCTCATGTTTGATGGGAATATTGTCCCAATTCAGGGCATTCCACTTTTGGTCGCAATTCCTCCAAAAGTGTATTTTCTTGCATTGCTAATGAGAATCTGTTCTCAACTGCTCTAAATAAATGAAGGTTTAAATGAATAAAAAAATACATACATACATAAATGATCCTCAATGGGAAAATTGAGGTTTAGGCTTATTGGGCCTAGGTGGAGGTATTACGGCCATTCTAGTTGCCCAGCTTTGTTGATCCTTCTGGCTGAATCCTATGATGACCGAAATGTAAGTGTCCAAGTGTTAAACCAAAACAATGAGCTGCAAGTAGAATGTTTATTATGGGAACATTCTGGTCCAATGGTGTGGTTCACTGCATACAACTGTGAGCAATCTTTCAGTATACTGCATTAACTATGACTGATCCTGCTTTACCTTGGAATTCCAGTCTGATGTTTGGGACCAGAACCTGGCACTGTCAGTCTTGGTTGTGTACGTTTTGACATATTATGAATTTCTTGGCAGCCTGTGTGAACACAGTGTCCAGATGCTCTGACATGCTCAATAAAGTATAGAATACCACTCACTCGTCACTTCATCTTTTTTTTTCTATTTGCGAAAGGGAGAAGTGTTCCATTTATATTGAATGCAGATGTGAGTGAATTCAAACACTTACTTGTTACATACTCTAACCACTTTTTGGATGAGCCAGTACTATATTTCTACTTGTACACTAAACCCATCAAATGTAATTTTTGAAAGCAAATGTTTTTTTGGGGAAGTAGAAAACATTTCCACCATTAATGTGACCTATAGCCTGTACAACTCAATTGAAAAAAAATAGAGAAGTTAAAAAGACAAATGTCATGTGGTTGCAAAAGTATGCACTCCCTCATGTACAATCTCCTAAGCATATGTGGGAAAATATGTTACAGTGTGGTGAAACCAAGGCTGAACGTTAAAAGTGGAAAAAAGCATGCAGCACATGGTCTGAACCATGACTGATATGTGTCTGTCAGGTATTAAAGTGCCAGTATTTTCACTTTTTTTAAAAAAAAAAATCATTACCCTTATTAGTGCACACACACATGCATGAGAGCACTCTCACACAGTGTGTCACTTACCCTCTGCCTCTCAACAGATGTTGAGCGATATCATGACTCCTGCTGTAAGGCAAACTAGGAACGTTCAGCAAGAGGAGGCAACATAAGGACACCAACAATTGTTTGGAGTCCACTGGCAGCACTCCAAGCTGTAAAGATCTCTAGGAAAAATCCAGGACATCCATTGTTGTACTCACTTTTTGGTGGAGTACGGGTTCCCTGATGTTGGCATTGAATTGGAAAACGAATATTCACTGGGGACGTTCATTGGTCTTGGCGGCCTAGGAGACAAGGATTGGTTTCAACCCCCAAACGTGGCCAAAAGTAATATTATATTTTAGACTGTGAATGTGATGTGAAATATTACAATGAAGAAAGCACCAAGAACAATGACATGCAGTGAAGTGAACAGACGAGCAAAAGAAGTTAGCTGCTGCTCAAGTGTGAGTGGGTGAGTGAGTGGTGGGTGATCACAAAGGATTAGAAGAACAAAAAGTACACCGTGATTCAAAGGGACACATTTTGGGAGGTGTGAAAGAATCAAAGAACACTCACCACGTGTCTCTAGAGAGAGCAAAGTAGAGAACAAAGAGAAAAGTCACCAGCAGACAGCACAGAGATAACCTTTAGCATACTGGTATAATTTTTTTTCTAGATAAAAGAGTAAAGGCCAGCTAATGGTGTAAATCTTTGCCATGCAACTTTGTGGAGTGGTGGTGTGTGTGTCGAACAATGACCCATTAAAATATGGCCTGAATTCAAATAAAGGTGCTGATGCCATTACTTATTCTCACTTTGGTTGGACATTAGAGTTCACTTGCAGTGGATTCAAATGACGCAGTGACCAGCTAAATCAAGAAATGAAACCGGAATAGCCCGGTATGGTGTTGGAACTCTTGTTTTTTTTTGGGGGTTTTTTTTGTCCTCACTCAACCATGTTAAGACTCCCAAGGCAAGATTTAGCAATTATTGTGTTTCCCCCACTATTCATGAGGGATATGGGACAAAGGCCTGCCGCAATTAGCCGAAATCCCAAATTGATGCGCCACTCTTCAAAGGTTTATGGTTGCCAGCGGATGCTAAAGGATAGCTGCAAAGCACTACTTTTACATTTAACCTGGCTATCGGCTGACTAAATGAAACACCTCGCCTCACTTCAATGTAGTTGCTTCTTACCAAAATGCCACAAGATGGTGCCAATGTAATACTTGTCCATAAGACGTATTTGGCACAAAAATGATCCAAGGGGAACACTGTTTCTGAAATACAGTGGGCACATTTATTTTGGGAAGGTGTGACTGGCTGCCGCATGTGGCTCATGATTGACTCACAAAATTCAAAACAATCAAAAGAGTTGCCACTGATTGAATGCCCTGAGGGTGAATGAGAACATTCCCAGGCATAACTCACAAAATGGCAGCTATCATCACATTTTCCTTCTTTGTATCCTTATGCGAGGAAATCGTAGAAAAACACCTACAAAAACCATATCTTTTAGTTTTGGTCTCATGAGATTAGCCGACATTTTGTCTGAAGTTGAAATATTATTGTATCGTAAAAACTTGGGGATGTTTGACATCAAGATTGAACACACAACCAGTTTCACAGACAACAGTTTTCAGAGTTTAGATGGCGACAATAACTCTGACAGACAACACGGTAAAAATGAACGGCCAATCAGTTTAAACCGTTCTAGTGTAAATAAGCGCAACCTGCGGCAGCAGGACTGTTCGATATCCCCCAGCAGAGACACTCCCTACAAACACTCAACAAAACCAGTTGCTCCTCGATTACTGTACGGTACACTGTAAAAAACTTGCATTTTTTTGGGGGGCGGGGGGGGGGCAGGGTGGGCCTGAATTCATTTAAGATGGAAGAATTTATTGACATATATAGCCACAGTAGTAGACAGTGCACCGAAGTTAACCGTTTGCTCCAACACAATTTGCTGAGTTGTTTTTACCTACAGCTTTAAGTTGGGGTAGGGTGGCCAGTCCAAGAGACAATAGTTTTGGAAACATTTATGGGAAAAACAATATTCACAACAGCAAACCCTAAAATATTTATTTAAAATTGCCCAACTTAAAATTTTATCTAAGTTTGTCGTCTTGAAATTTTGAGTTCACCTTTTGTTTTTGTCTTCCAGCAGTGCAGTATTGCAAACTTCAGGTCACTTCCTTCATGGCAATCATTTTGTTTTACGTCACGATCAGAGCGCTCGACCATTTTGCGAGTGATTCGAGGAGGAAAAATCACTCTAACACACCGCGCACCAAAGGATAATTGCTCAGGATAATCGCATCTTTGCTGACTTTGATCAGGCTAGGGGAGGGTGGTATGCTAAAATTCCATCTGATTCAAGTTATAAATTTTTCTAACAACCAAGTCAAATTCTGTGTCGTACCTGAAAAAAAAAAGTATCTCATAATCTCAAGGTTCACTTTGAATGGAATTTCCTACTTAATTCTCATGGGAGCATTTTGTCTCCCTGAGACTATTTCTGTTGGGGCAGCTACCTGATTTAACAGAAAGCACCAGAGAAACTCTCACACAAAAACACAAAAGCTCAAGTGAAGGCAACAGTAGCGACATTGTTGTAGATTGCAATCACTCCCTGGGCTGCAATTAAGCCTCATTGATTCGCTGACCCATGGGATTGACTGGAATCAGACTTAGAGGAGGCAGTGAGCGGATCCTACTTGGTGGGCAAAGTGTAGAAAATAACTAAGCAGATGAAGAATAACATACACAATATGGGCGAGGTTGAGAGGTTTCTCCGGCATGTCGGGGAACATGGGATGAAGAGGCTCTCTGCTGGATGCACAGCTCAGGGACTTGCTGAGGGCATGAGACAGCTTCTTGGCCGGGGATTTCTGTGAGCAGAGGACACCAGGAGTACACTAAACTGCTTTAAAAGCCCACTAGAGATGCTGGTTACAAATAGGGGCTGAGTGCAACCCTTACGTCATGGTGCACAAACAGCCGCATTGACTGGTCCGGCTGCAGACACACCTCCTCCTTCTCCCCCTCCCAACTCCTTACCCATGATGTATACTCCTTCATTTGATGCTGGTTGCTATGGGGACCGCTGGCATGCCCCCTCCAGAAGCAGTCCTGACAGAGCTGGTAATTATGACATTGCTGGCAGCGGTAGCGGAAGCCCATCATACTCTCAGTGTGGCAGTAGGAGCACTCGACCGGGTGAAAGACTGCAGGGGGGGAAGAACACACATGCATAAATAGATGCGGTATAAAACGCATATATTTGGGCATTGTACGTTGAATAGAAGACTTGTTTATGGTAAAGTAAGGATACACGAGGTGAGATTAGATCTTGCTCAGGGTTCGGGACTTCGAGCCGCGAGATTATTTGATCGGGCGCACCATGCAAATTCAAAACCAAATGAAATAACTGAGCAAGGGTCAGGGGGGACTCACCGCGACATTTTTTATTGAAAATCCACAAAATGATCACCAAAATTTTACGCTGTGTTCCATGCATATTTGAAAATGATCACAATTTAGCGTCGATCATTTGTCTAGGCCACCTGCTTCCGGGCTCATTTAGGAGAATTCATTCCCTTGTGTACAAGCACAAAATGTCTGCTTCAAATTGACGTTCGATTTCAGGCATGAGGTCCTTGAGACTTTTTTTGTGGGTCCCGTTAGGATATCAGAGTCTACTCAATTCTGTATTGTTCGGTGATATTGGTGACTGGGCAATTTTTTTCAAGCTTTCCAGGGGGCCATAGAGAGTGAATTTAAATGCGGAGGTAGGGTGTGGGGGGGGGGGGGCTGATGTAGGGCCCCTAAAATCCATCTACAGTGGTACCTCTACACGAACGTCTCTTCATACGAATTTTTCAAGTTACGAAATGCCTCAACAGGAAAATATTGCCTCTTGTTACAAAAGAAATTTCAAGATACCAAAGGTAAAAATACAGCGTGGGTTGATACTCGCAGCTCTGAGTTTTCTGAACGCAACATACTTATAGCTGCTCTGCCATTGGCTATTACCAAGTTTCATACTGGCATCTCATTGGCTAAGAGGGACCTCTACCGTATGTGTCTATGCGTGTTGATAAGTAGATATGTGTCTATGCAGCGTCCTTGTCATTCGACCCTTGGGCCATGACGCATTCCGATAGTTTTACGTAAATGGGAATCACCCAGAAAAAGTGTTCACCAGTTGGGAGATTGCTCACTCTGCTGATGATGTTTGCCTTGGACATTTTCAAAGGATTGTTAAAAGCCGACAAAAGCAAACGCCCTTGGATCAGTTCTTTTCAAAACGCCAGGTAAAAACCACTTCTGAGAGAGAACATGCACTAAAGAGGGCAAAAAACGATGAGGACGCAGTTAAAAGTTAAATGACCATCATTTTTATTCTTTACTCGCTTCTTCTGTTTTTTTACATTATGCACAACTCTCATTTATTGTGCAATAATTGTAACATGTACTGTATTTGTTACATATTTTGATGCATTTTTATGCTTTAGAAAACATTTATGTCTGAATTTTGGAGGCGCTTGGAACAGGTTAGGGCATTTATATGGAAAACGCGTTTCTACTTACAAAATTTTCTACTTAAGAAATTTCTTCCAGAACCAATTAATTTCGTAAAGTAGAGGTACCACTGTATTTCCCCCAGTATTCATGGGCTTGCAAGAACTGTGCATTTTTAGCCATGTGCCACAAATTGTGATTTATTCATAAAAGCAGCGATCCCGAGGGGAATGACAAAAAAAACCTCAGAAGAAAAACCTCCAAAACACTGGACTCACAAATGCTCACAAGGAATAACAATAAACACTGTCGCCTCACATTTTATCAAGACGAGAGTATGACCCTCAGAGGACTGAGACAAAGCATGTGAGGTCCTCATAGGTCATTGTGTTCAGGCGTATGCATTTGCTCATGCGGTGACTGGGTTATGACTTAGGGTTATGGTGTAAAGAACAACTTCCACACGGAAAGCTAACCAGTTATGAATACAGTAAGAAAAGGATCGTAGGACTCAGAATTCAAGGACGTTTGGAGTAAATCTGTCCCTAAAATTGAACATTTCTCTTGTACACTATATTTTACATCTTAATCGCCTGGTGGTAGCCATAAATCAAACCTGAGAGGCAGGCGTGCGAACCACGATCCACCATGCGCACACAGGGGCTGCTCATTTCCATTTTCATTATTTCTTCAGGGAATATACTTTCAAAATCTGAACAAATGGAAGGTGGACTAGTGTCTAAAAATGGATTGGGGTTTTTCCACTCTATTTGTTGTGCCACCTACCGTTCTCCACATTGGCAAGCCGGTGCATGAGGGGTAACCACACCAGACACTGAGGAGCCGGGTCTGACATCAACGAGTCCAGGAAAATGTTGAGGGAGACCTTTTTCTGCTCACAATGCAAACCAAGTGTTAGTCAAGTTAGGGAGTTGTTTTTAAATCTATCTTTAAGTTGGGGGAGGGGGGGGGGGGCAATATAAGGGGCAAGGCTTCTGTCAACACTTATTTCTTTGTTGTGACTTGAGATCGCTTCCGAAATGGCTATCGTTGCATTTTGCCTCACAATCAGACTCGAGGCGATCTGTGACCCCAACCCGTCACGTATGTAAAAATACATACCTGTACAATATTGGGGTTGAATTATTGAATGCTGACCTGATGCATGAAGCAGCTCTTGGCCGCTTGCTCCGTGTAGCCAAACGATGGCCCTTCAAAGACAGCCATGGGCAGCTTGAGAATCTCCCTCAGGAATTGGTCAAACTGCGCATACAGCATGATTCCCGCCGGATCGGATATTAATGAAAAAATATCTGTGGAGCGACATCAAACAAACCAATCAAAATAAATTGTCAGCTTCCAACGCAGTCAGCTAATTACAGCATCACACACAGTGCAATTAGCGCACTTATTGAGGGAAACAAATTGAAGAAGACAAGCAGCTGTTCAAATCGTTTTGTTTAAAAAACACAAACAGCAAGGAATTCATCCCACGCTTTGACTGTTTATCAGCCAGGAGATGATGTTGGCACCTTTCAAAATAAAAGTAAATGAAAGAGTTGAATGAACCTTTAATCTGGCAGCGAAACCTCTTCCGTCACGATTTGGCAAATGTCATATTTTTTCACAACTCTATGCTATTGACCCGTGTCTGAGGTGTTTTTCTAAATTTCTGAGCAATCTAAAGTGTGGAAAATGGCTTTCTCTCTTTGACGGTGCAATGTTAACGGTTGAACAAATATGCCGTTTTGGAGGTCTCTTTAAAGGTGATGATTTGCGAGGTACGAGGATGCTAGTGAAATGAGCAGTATTTGATGGATTCAGAGACTTCCTCTAGTAAACTGAAAACTTGCTCAACACCGTGTTTATTCTGAGATCATAATCTAGTAATTACTCACACCGAGTGCGTGATCTTGAATCCACATGTATTATTGTGGTGAAATGTATCATTTTGGACAATTCCAAGTGAAACAACAAATGCTGCTTACATCTTAATTTATCCAGAATTTTCCCTCCGCAGAAGGTTGCTAGGACCATCTTCACAACAAAGACAGATATTTTGCCGTGGCCATCTCTAGAAAACAAAGATTTTATTATGGTTATTCACACAGAAACACACACACACACGCGCACACACACACACACACACACACACACACACACACACACACACACACACACACACAAACGACGAGATAAGACACTGAAGCAAGTAATGGCAACCAAAACGATTAAATGAAAACATAAAAACAACAAATTTGATTTCAATATGTTTAGAATGACTGTAAATTGTTCAGTTTATCAATTTCAACTTTTCACGTTCACCATTCCTATTAACTCAAGGCTCACAAATTTTTTTCTTCAATTTCAAATTGTGTAATACAAAAAACTTTTCGATAGCTCTGTGAGTTAGTGCTGAGCACGGTTGCCTCGGAGTCCGCTCAAACCCTCGTCTGTGTGGAATTTGCATGTGGTTCCTGTGTATCACGCGGGCATGCATGTTGAATTGAAAACTTTCATTTGTTCATAGGTTTCAATGCGAGTGTGCAATGCTTGTTTGTCAATAGGTGCCCTGTGATTGGCGGGCAATTTATCCAGTCCTGACCAAAATTAGCCATGTTGGGCACCAATTTACTGGCGTGCCCAATGAGAACGAGCATGAAAGGTAAATATTGGATTCACAGTGTCCACTGTGTTTGATGTGCAAAAATAAAAAAAATAAGACACATTATTGCCGCTTGTTGTAACACTGTTGCAGTCAATAGTCAGCAGTCTTCCCAACTTAGGCCACAAAGAACCACGCATGACTCACGGGTCATAAGCTGCCAGCAGGAAGTTGAGCAGCAGGCTGATGGAGTGCTCCACGTTGATCTGGTGCGTGGTGGGCATGCGCTTGTTCAGCTGGTACAGTATGGTGGACAGCACCACTTCCAGGCGGGCCACGGGAAGCTCGGCCTCGAGCTCCTCGGTGTTGAGACCGTTTTCTCGGAAGGCCTCGATGACGTTCCAGATGTCGATCAAATGCACTGGGAGGCAAGCGGGGAAAATTGTACGCAGCGCAGCAGAAGCGGGAGAGCACATGCCGTACTCACAGTTGCATTTCTTCTGCACAAATCTCAGTTTGCAGGCTGTCCTGTATGTCGACAGTCGAATGGAGTCCAAATCCTGAGCCCCTGGGGAAGATTTTCCGAGTAAATTACCTCAGAATCAAATAAACAAATAAAGACCCAGCAGAAGAGTCACAGGGTATACAATTTGATGCTGATCCTAATTTGGATTGTTATTTGACTGCCATTGATGTGGGACTGTATGGGAACCACTTTTCACCACAAAGCATCATGGTAAAATGTGGTACACAAATACTGATAATGGGCCCAAATTTAAGCCCGATTTTTCCTCCCTGATCGGCTCGGAAATCAGTCGGAGCTGTTGTAAATGTTAAACCTATGAAATCAATATTGACAATCCCAAATCCTAAAGCACTTACCAACAAAATCCCATGTCGGATGTCTATGAAAAATGAGTCTGAGTGACTATCCTGTGGTGTATGTGTTTTGTTCAAAAGGGTTTTTCCTCTTTTCTGCTTAGGATAACCATCAGGCTCGACAATCGTAAATGGTAAACTTGTTCAAAATTTGCAATAATAATCTTTCAGCAGGGTACACACATATCCAAAATTGTGCCTAACTTTAGCCCTTATGATCAAATTTAGCAGAGTTGGTCGGTTTCTGGTTGTCTCTAAAATATCCTAAGCGATTATCCTGTGGTGTTGCGTGAGTTCAGAGTAACTCTTCGTCTGCTTGGGAAAATTGTCAACGATAGCAAATGTTAAACCTGTTCCATCTTTACGATAGGAGATTGTTAAGGATGGTACACACACTAACAACTGGAACTAATTTGAGCTTGAGCCCCACTCCCTTAAGGTCGGCAACGTTCATCGGTAAAACAAAATCCTTAAAAGATTATCCTGGTGATTATCTGTCAGTGTGGGTTCTGTGACGATAATTAAAAAAAAAAAAAAATCCCAGATCTGCTCAGAAGATGTCGATCGTAACTGCTAAACCTCTTCAACTGCCACATTCGGCGGATGCACGGTCTTGGGATTGTGATATAAAACAGAAGACCCGCCTGAAACCTGCGGAGTAATTTGAGCAGAAAGCGGAGCGAGATTGATGTGTTGCAAGTCATTCGCTATAATAAAAATGAGGAGAAGGAGAAGTGCTTGCCCCAACTACGTAATTACCAGATGAGTCAACAGTTAGCCTTGCTACTTGTAAATCTTCGTGTACTTTTACTGTTTCTTCTCTTTTGTGTCTTCTGTCTGCTCTCACAGGTCAGGTCTCGTGCATTTGGTTTGCGGGAGGAGATACCGTTCTCCCAATCATGTGTCTCTCACATCTTGGGATGTTAAAAATCTGTATGTGTTTAGTGATTTATTTGTTTTTTTTTTCTATTTTAATGCTTTCAGAATACTTGGTACAGAGGCCATTGAGGACCTTGGGCGCCGTCCAAAGTGATACAAGTGAAGTGCCGCCTCTCAGTCTAGTGTGAAGTTACTTTTTAATGGGCCAACGACAAGAGCCGCAGCAGTAAACTGAAGTTCACTCGAGCTTTTCAACCCTTATTGTGAAAGGTCTTAAAAACGCATCGGATGAGTTCACATTTTCACAGCAATATATTTTCTGCGCATTTTTTTTTTTCCAAGTGGATACTTTCAGCATGATCACTGGAGACTTGATTAAGTCCAAGTGTCGAGTCTAGTGAAAGCTGCATCACCGGCAGGTTATTAGATTTTGTAACAAAATGTTGTATATTGTAATTGTTTGAATCGGGGGCAGATTAATGCTCTGAGGTTGAGGGTTTGGATCTCAGGTTCAGGTCTTTCCAGGATGAGTTTGCATGTTCTCATTGTGTTTGTGTGGGAATTCTCCAGATAGTTCTCCTTCCTCCCACATTCCGAAACATGCATGTCTGGATTGGTGAAGACTCAAAATCAGTGGGTCGCAAACGTTTTACATGAAGCAGCTCCTAAAAATGTACTTAGCTCTCCAAGTACCACCACCATTAAAACACAGTAGCACAGCCATGTTCATCAAAAACGAGCCGGTTTGATTCCTAAAACGTATGTTTAAGGGTTATTGTAGGCCACTGTAAAATCCTGCACAGTTTGAGCATTTGAGACTGCAATTAGACATCAGAAAATACAAAATCTGCATTTTCTGTCAATAATGATTCAATTACAAATGCTAACTATAACCGGAATGCATTTAGGTAGTGATCATGAGCGCAAATAGCTGTTTGTCTATGAATGACCTGCAATTGGCTGGCAACCGGTTCAGGGTATGCCCCGCCTACTGCCGAAGATAGCCGGGACAGGCTCCAGCACACCCGCGACCCGTGTGAGGATAAGTGGATCGGAAAATGGATGGTTGGATGGATAAATTGTCCACATAGTGGAAATGCTTGTTTGACTGTAGGTGCCCTGTGATCAAAGAAAACGGACTGCATAGACCGTGCGTCATCTCTTCAAATAATTCTGTTACCTTGTTACCTACAAGAGCGGGGCAAATATGATGCGGTGTTTGGGAAAGGGTGTGATGTCATCCTCCTTCAGTTTATCATCAATCTGGATGTGATGCGAGTGGGACCATTTCTTCTCCATCATATGCATCTTACATGCAAACTTGGAAGTAGCGAGCATTTTAATGGCCGGTGGGTGAAGGGAGGCCAGTATAGATTAGGACACGGTCACGTGCGCCTTCGTACTTACTCATCTCGACGAGCAGTTGCCTCCTGTCTGCCATGTTGACGCCACTCCACCCGCAGTCTTCAATCATTCTGATCAAGAGAGAGAGTAAAAGTCAATCCATGCACCCCTGATTTTTAGTGACGTCCTCATAAAAATCACGATTTGATGACTGAACACGAAATGTTTTTGACTTAATTCCCTGAAGCGTCAGAAGGCAACTGATAAAACCATTGTGCATGCCGAGACTCTAACCACTTCATTAATACGAGCAGACATAATGAGACGACAACCATTCAGCGTGACCACAACTCCAATTCACATACTTTCATTTGTGTTTTTGTACACACACACACACACACACACACACACACACACACACACACACACACACACACACACACACACAAACAGAAATATAGTGAAACCTTGCATATTTGCAATTAAGCAACACCGATTTGTGGATTTTGGAGTGTAATACAGCCTCCAACAGCTCACCAATTTGCAGGTTTTGCGCTCAGGTCAAAGCAAGAAAAATGTGTTGTCCTGAACAGAATTCTGAGTCGCAGGTGGCTGTTTTCCAACTTGTTCAACCAAGTACAGTGGTCCACTCCATTTTGCCTGAAAGCACATTCAATCAACTCCGTACAAGAGACAGAATCCATCAATTCATGCCCTATACCTAATCTCAGGAGACCTTAAGGGGACATATAAGCGATTTGTAAAACTAACCTTTTCAGTGGCTACTATTGAAATAATAAAGTGCCTGGTCATCCATCAACTGTGAAATTAAACAATCAAGAAAATCTTTTATCTGGCTTTCTGAGAATGTGTGTGTGTGTGTGTGTGTGTGTGTGTGTGTGTGTGTGTGTGTGTGTGTGTGTGTGTGTGTGTGTGTGTGTGTGTGTGTGTGGTGAGTGAGTTGTTCTTTTGCCATACGGTAAAAACTTGGACCACACTAAGTTGCTTCAACCATGACTTGACAGCTAAGATAGGCAAAGATTCACAGCCACTTTCAAGCCACGGAAGATGGACTGATGTTGTATTCACCGACCTTTTTGAAACTGATTCAGTTACTTGTCCAAAAGTAAATCAGATTATGGCGCATGTCTTATTTTGATTACACACAAAAGATCAACGGTCTGCTTTCATGATGAACTACAGAAATCAAATCAAATGAATAATAACTACTTGGAAGCTGAAATCAGAGGATTTGGACAATTTGAAGTTAAACAATAGCTCTAAACGCTTACTCGTTTATTAAAATATGCGTCGATTAATTTAATAATTGATCACTTGTTGATTGATTGATTAATTTGACACAATCGTAAGCAATCAGCACACACAAAGTCCACCGATTAGAAGTGCTCAAGGGCTGTCTTTTTGCCTCTGAGTATTAGTTCCCGCCCTTCTTCACTTGATCTTGTTTCGCAACCTTTCCAAATTGAATGTACCACACGCATGCACGCACGCGCACGCGCGCACGCACGCACGCCCGCCCGCCCGCACACACACACACACACACACACACACACACACACAGAATCCGAGGGGAGGTGAGCGAACATAAGTAAGACAACGAAAAGACTTTCAAGGAAGCGGGGCAGCGAGAGCAGCCGAGAGACGACTCACACCACGCCTCACCACACACTGTCCAGGCAATCTAATACACCTTGTCATGTGCATTGTTGCCATGGCAGCAAGTCTCCACACACACACACACACACACACACACACACACACGCACACACACACACACACACACCCACACACACACACACACACACACACACACCCCTCCCTACACGCCTGAATCAACACCCCCACCCCACTGCAGACAGGCAAAGTTTCTGGAGGAAAGCTTTTTTTTTCTTCTTTTTTTTTTTTTAATCGCAAATATCATTTATGAGATGTAGCTAGTGGGGTCGTCGTTTTCTTTGGACGATAGCCTTGAGATAATCATTCAGGCATGCTATTTTATATTACTTTGACAGTAATTAGCCATATTCTGCAGACACACATGGCGCAATTAAAAATAAAATAAAATACCGGGATTTAAAATCAGCAGGTTTGCTTTTCTGATCCCAATCAATGCGAACAGTCACTTGTGGCTCTTTGAACCACAATTGGCGAGGAAAAAGAATGTGCAAATATTGTTCAGATGGATTTGCAGAGTTTACAGAGGGTTTAGAGCAGTTGTTCTTAACCTTGTTCGAGGTACGGAACCCAACCAGTTCATATGCACATTCACCGAACCCGTCATTAGTGAAAAATAAAACTATGATTTTATTTATTTATTTATTTATTTATTTATTTTCCCAAATTCAAGACATTAAAAAACGCATTCATTAAAAACAGAAAAAAGTAAACACAATTAGTATAAGTATGACGTATACATTTTTTAATTGTGCACAAAATGAACCAACCAGTGATGGCGTGTCATAACTAATCGACATGTTGAGTCCGGTGTGTCTTAATCTCCATGGCAGAGGCTCTGTCGAACCCCTGAGACTGATTCACCGAACTCCTAGGGTTCGATCAAACCCAGGTTAAGAACCACTGCTTTCGACACATTTGCAAGGTCAGATTTAGGCAAGTAAAAGATCGCCGTTCAAACTTCTCAACTTTTATTAAACTGTGCTAAAATGACAGTTTGACATTCCATAGTGGAAATGTTGATTTGTCGCTCAAACCCAAAATATGTCAGCAAATCTCTGGTGAGTTCAACTCAGTAAGCATCTACAAAATGCACTCCAAAATCTTGTTTTTCGTTTTCTTTGGCTTATTGTGGATGCCACCACAGGGTACAGGTGATGGCAAAGAAAAAAAGTGTGATCACCACTGAACCAGAAATGGAACAGACTATGACATAGGGAAGGGTCTGTCTGCTTCGTACAATATAAGCAATACGCACAGCTAAATTGCTAATGATGTAAATGTCAATTACCTTGCTTACATAGAGTAAATATCAATTACACACAGTACACACAGTGATTATACAAAGCAAAGGTGAATGTAAATGCTATATTCAAAATTGACTAATTATAGCAGTACTGGTACAATTAAAAAAAAAACAAACAGAATGACAATATTGCTTTTTCGTCCTTTTATGACACGCAGAGTTGCAACCCTTTTTGAATCCGGCAAAACTGATGACAGGACAGTGACAGTATTGGTATGCAAACACCTTCCTGTTCCCTTTCAGTGGTGTGTCTTCAAAAAGGAATGTCAGTCGTTTTATTTTTTACAAGGAAACAAATACAATGAAAAAAAACCAACACAAATCTTGAATTGCACAAAAGTGAGCAAAAAAAATAACTCAAGGCAACCTTGTTGTCAGAAATTTGGACTTTTGGTTCCCAGCATCCTAGGGCTGCACATATTGCACATGCCAGAAACTGCAACTGCTTGCATGCCCCACAGTCCATTCGAAATGTCACTTAAAAACCTGTAGAGTTTATCAAGAATCAATCAATTCACTTTACATTGTTTCCTATGGGACAAATTGTTTTGACATTGGAACAACTTGAGCAAGACACAGATTGTGTATGACGGGGGTGGCCAACCCGCGGCTCGCGAGCCGCATGCGGCTCTTTGGCTGGTTCAATGCGGCTCCCGGGCTTGACATGACATGACAAGCGTCGAAAAGGCCTCGGTGGTGGCGCTGCCATTCAAACAACGGCGCTAAATACACAGAACTAACTATGTCAGCCTATCATCAATCCCGTTACTTGAGTGACATACAGGGCAACCAATCGGATGACAACTGAATCACCGCTCATGCGCAAACAACGGTGCACAGCGCTAAGCGCTAAGCTAGTCAGCTTTAAAGGTAGGGGTGCCCAATACGTCAATCGCGATCGACCCGGAGCCAGCGGACTGGTCCCAAGTCGAGCGCGAGCGTTGGAAGGAGGAAACGGGGGTGGGGGGTATGTCTGTGTGTTTCAATTTCGTTCGTGTTCAGTGAAGTTCCGGCTCTCGCTCATCTCGGTGTCTGTGCGTGCCTGCGTATTCGCACGTATGTGTGTGTGTGTGTGTGTGTGTGTGTGTGTGTGTGTGTGTGTGTGTGTGCGCGCGCGCGTGCATGT